TATGTAGTCAAATTATAAAAATAACTCTTTTTCCTTTGTAAATATTCAAACAATTCCATGTTACTTTCCAGGTTTCCAGAACACAGTTCTAGTAGACCCATCAGGTCATGGCGTCGTGAATCCGTATGCTGGTTACAGAGGTTTGGTGCAACCACAGGTGCTGGCTGCTCCTATTGGCTACCAGAACCGACCTTACGACCTGGTGTACCAAGACCCTGGACTTGTTAATGCGTAAGTTTCTATACTCTATAACTGTGTAAGTGTGGGAGAGCCATGCTTCTGCACGAATGGGCTGGGTCTGCTCGACTGGAGTGATACCACCGCCTCACAGAAAACCGGCGTTCAACAACCAATATTGTGTTTCACCGTGTGTGTGAGGTTACCGGAAGCCCAATCCCTCACCTCCCCCAATCCCTAAATCTCCAAATCCCCAAAAGGTCGCTAACGCACTCGTAACTCTTCTGTTCTTGTGGCTGTCTATGGGCGGTGCTGATTGCATCAGGCATCAGGCAACCAGTATGCTCGTTTGCCGACCTATCAACTAAATAACTCGTATTATTATTTGTGGCTGTTTTTTGAGCTGAAAAATATTGAATGAATCTATATTTTCGCCCGCAGCGCTGGTCAACCTGTCCAAGCAGATGGCAGAGGTCCCATCCACTTCTCTCAGAATGTGGGACTCCAAGGACCAGTCAACCCTGCAGCCTATCAAGGACCTGTCGCCCAACTTGCCCACCCAGGCCAAGCGCCTAACTTGAGAGTACCAAATGGTAAGGACTTCCAACTTAGTGAAAAATTGCTATTTAATTTGGGAGGGATTTTTTGCGAGCAAGAAATTTAATTTGTTTATCAGAAATATTCTGTGAAATTCGAGAAGAACCTTTCTTGCTGTAATTCTGTGCCCACCCACAGATGGCGCGTTAAAGGTTTTGAATCAAAGTACAAATAATCAGCCTATAAGTGCCTACTGCTGAGCAAAAGCCTCTTCTTACACGAAGACGTATTAATCACCACGCTTGCTCAAGGTGAATTGGCGATTTCAAACTTATAATTTGAAACTATAAGTAGAAATTTCTTCACGATGTTTCTTTCACCGAATGTCAGTGGTGTCTAAATAATCATAGAAAGTACATATAACTTTGCAATGTCACATTGATACTTGCCGACCGAAATTCTTGTTACAATATTCAAGCCCAGAAAAGCCTTTCTTTATATGTCTTTTGAAATTACTTATTGCTAATTACGATATTATATTTCCAGGTGCCCCAGCTCAACTGAAACAAGGGACTGAAGAAGCCAAAGAAGGTGTTGATGCCAAATCAAATCATAGAGCGCAACCTCTCACACGAAACAAAGCGTAGCTCAACGATATCAATTAGTGTACTGTGATCGAACAAATTTATATTAATTTAGAAACTATAGAAGAAGACATTTAATTCAACACAAACCAATAAAGTATTAATAATTCGATGCAAACTTTAAAAAATGTGATGAAAAATTCTTATTTTTTGAACGCAACTTTATACATAAGTACTTATACATTTTGAATATCGAATGTATAAAGATATTGAATTGTTTAAATCGAACAACGTTTTCTTTTGATTGTTTTTTTTCCAATGAATTTGCAATTTTATAAACGAAAACCAATGCAATATAGTTTCTTATATTTATAACAAAAATTTAATATTTAAATATATTTTTGTGAATTGTTCATTTGTATTTTTTTTATCTTATCATAATGTTTTTCTTTAAATTACCTAGTTACGTTTTGGTTTTTTGGTGTGAGATAGCCAAGCTTCTGCTCGAATGCGTCGACTATACTAAGGCCTCACAGAAAACCGGCGTGAAACACCCACATCGGTGTGTTTCGCCTTGTGAGTAAGACTAGTGGGGGCCCTATACCTGCCCCTACCCCTCCCGATACCTAAATATCTGAAACCCTAATCCCCAAAAGGCACTCGTAACTCCTCTGGTTTTGCGGGTTTCTATAGGCGGCGCTGATTGCTTACCATCAGGTAATCAATAGGCTCGTATGCCGAAATATCACACAAAACAACAAACACACACATAGTTTTCAAGTGTAATAAGAAATATTATGCTTTATGGACCTACTTCAAAGGCCTTCTTTACTGATAATATTCTAACAAGGCATAACAATTAACATAACGGATATAATAATACCTATCAGTATCAGAGTAGCACAGCATAACCAATATCATATAAAGTAAAAAGAAACATGAGACGCAGTATGACCAGCTGCAGTAAATTCGATATTTAAAATCCGTTCATCAGTTAACACATACACTCTCAATTATATTACCCAGTCCTCCCTCAACTTAAGTAAACAACAATTTCCAGTAAAATTCCTTAGAAAATCCAGCTCTACCAACTGTACAACTTATATGGAGCGACATCGCCCTACTATCGGCAGGACCGGTCGCTTTCTCCTATAATAAATTAACAGCATCGCGAATTATAGCGCTATCTATCAGATAACTAACCAGTACTACTAGTAAAATTGCCCGAGATTTATAATCAGCTCCATTTACAACGTGAAAAACGGTTACATTAAATACCTTTGTCAGACATTTGCTCATGCATGCAATAATATTAACGATTTCAGATCTCGAATTCTTTATATTCAAGTCGTAATAAAGTATCGGCTCATAATAATTGACTGGTTGCAAATCTGCCAGCGTCTTCTGATTTTGAATTCTTAACATTTCTAAGGATTGATTTATGGTTCCTGTTGAAGCAATCAAAGAAGGTCGGTTGTACCACTAATGTAAATTTTAATTTTAATTTTTAAATGTAGTTATTTATTTTACATGCCAAAATATTCTTTTTTTCTTTTTAAAAACGGTGCCCCACACTAGGATTTTCTCCTGTATCGTGGGTGCGGTTACAAAGATTCACGTACACATGACACCCAGACCCGGAACTATAATTCGTGGATCACACGAAGAGTTGTTCTGTGCAGGAATTGCACCCGCAACACGTTGCACGGCAGCCAGTTGCAAAGCCACCGCACCAACCGTGCAGTCAAAATTACCTTAAACTGCTTTTACAGGCCAACAACGTAACGGGTAGCATACTCGCAATAGTTATGCTAATAATGAGTATCTACAAAAAGTTTAATAAGTCCCTATAAGCAATCCCAATTGTTTAAATCTCTTATTAGGTGATGAAAATCATCACGTGGCTTTTTCATCCTGGGTGCAGCGAGGGTGTGTCAGACTCTTACTGATAAAAAACCACCCCGTTCCTTCTCCTGTTCCAGGATGGGGCCAGGGTACATTATTGCATTTGAAAACTGATACGACCTTTAATGAAACCTGCATTCACTTTTTTTGAAAGGCCGACAATGCCACCGCCTGTTACTCCTCTTGTGTTCAGATGTCCAAGGGCGACGCTGATCACTTACCATCAAGTGATCCTTGATGGTAAGTGATCAGCGTCGCCCTTCGTCTATTCGTTTGCCAACTATTCCACGAAAAGGCCTAATTATGAAAACACCGTGATTAAGTAAAAAACAAAAAACTTAACTTTCATTTAAAAAAGGAAAGTGTACAAAAACTAGTTCCTATCAAAATTAACGATCCTATCGATACAAAACATTCATAAAAATAATTTAATCGAATTAAAACTTCCTGAAGTGAGGTTGCTATCATTAGCAATATTAATACTTCCTTGTAGAATCTAACTTTTATCTGCGAAACTGCTACCGTTAGCACTTAAACTGCATTTTATCGTCTCTAACGGAGCCTCATCCTGTGGTGGCGTTCAATCCTATAAAGTATAGCATTTACCAACTTTAATTTGCTATCCAAAATCTTTAATAGCATCCCTAATCCTTCCCAACAAGATTCCTTTTCCTACATCCTTAATTTCTCCAGCTTTAAAGCGGAAATTGTCAAGTTCCGAGAATGGTTACCAGTTTATGATCTCCAAAGGAATCGGACGTATAATTATGGCCAATTGGAAATGTGATTGGACATAAATAACAGATAATTGACTCGAGATGGACGTGGATAGTTTAATTCAATTAAATTGTAATGTTGTTTCAATTATTGTGTATTCTGTCCATTAGCGATTCCCGTTGCTCAGGTACATTTCATAGATTTTCGAAGTTTTTTTTTCTCGTGTAAATGCGAGAACTGCTTGACTGGCAAAAGAGTTTAAAATGGTAATCTATTGTTACAAAAATTTCTTCACTTTTGGATTTTATATTTTTCTATCTTGCTCAGTATTGTTCCGTGTAATTTTATTTTGTTTCTTTACTTGCCATCAATAACTTTTGAAAACTGATAGGTAGCAAAATGCGTCAAACAATTTCGAAACTTTTTACAAAGATAATAACCGTAAATATATCAAATTACACACACTTGTCGTTTCGCTAAAATAAAAAGCTATTATTCGTTCCAGCTAATAGACCATCAAAATTTCTATCATTAAAAAGAAATAACAGCTAAGAACAAAACAATCACAAAAAGCCCACAAACCGCATTTTGTTTATTTTCATTGACCTGCATTGTAGTGGCCTTGATGCTGCATCATTATATTACGATCAATCACGTACAAGCGTCTCTCATGATGGATGGCCATAAACATGATTTAAAACTACAGGTGCAGTAATGTGCAAATTATATCACAACAAACACAACCAAATCTGACACTTAACGTTTCCAACTTAAAGTTCACAGCTGCAGCACAACTTTGAGGTGTATATTATATCAGTACTTTTTATACAAACTTTAATAGTCGATCCAAAACCAATTAAACTAGATCTGTCAATATCTTCGCAGACACTTAAAACACAAAACCAACTCCATGAACAATACTCATCAAAGAGGATCATAAAATTTTGGGCGTCTGATAATGATGACTCACTCGAATTAAGATGGAATCGCTTTCCAAAGGAAAGGTGTCGAGAGATCGTTGCAATTATCAACGTTCGGTACGATGCGAGGCAATTATGATCTTTTTGCTGTGGACCCGTTATCTTGGCTTAGATGCGCGGCAAAAACGCAACTGGCGCAGTGTGGAGTCTTTCGCCGCCGTGGGCGCACGCTACCGCCACGCGAACTCACTCTAACATAATGTCACCTCGGGCGCTGTTCCTACTCGTCGCTATAGCCTGCATCGCGCAGGCAGCGGCCCGGCCAGTGAAGAAGACCCTCAACTTCAACATGTTTTTGTTACGACCTAAAGAAGGAGCTGCCGACAGATTCTTGCTGTCGACCGACGGGGTGTCGAGGTTTGGCCCAATATTGGAGATGTTCGTCCAAAGGTTTCAGGGGCTAATGTCTGTGAAGCTGCCCCAAGACCAGCTGAACAGTATATCTGTTCCTGATGCACCGGCAAGTGTCAAAGGTGAGGTGCCTATTGGTAACAATGCGGAAAACGAAGTTGATGGAGTGCCGGAATCCAAGATGCCTGGCATTGTAGTCAGGCCTTCGCGCACCAAGCCGGGGACATATGAAGTGGAGATAGACATGGTTGTTGACGACGGACAACCAGATGAGAAGAATCAATAATTGGTGTTTTATGTTATAAGGTCGGGTCCAAAAAGTATGAGATGTGTTAGTATGAAAATAGTTGTGTATGATTTTAAATTAAAGGAATGTTTGATAATGTGTTGATTAACAAATTACAATATTTCGTAAGAATAGGTATTAGTTATCTTTATTTATGGTTTAGGTAGAATAAATAATTTTTTTGTTAGTAAACAAGTTTGAAAGTTTCTGTTAGGTGTAAAACAAAGTATTGACTCTATACATTCTTATTTTGTCATAATGTTATCGTGATATTATTACTTTCTGCATTTATTATTTTAATTTAGTTTTTAAGTTGAAGTCGTAATAATATTTATTTGGGTGTTCTTGCCATATCATAAGGATTTATAGTAAGTACGTAATAAATTATTTTTAAATTTCGTTTCTGTTTGTTTTTTTGTATCACATTGTAAATAAAATTATAAATGGTCTTTTTATTTGATTAAAAATTTGGTTGTGGTTTGTTTGAATTTAGAAATTGCCTATGATCTAACAAATTTTGCATATAGTTTCTTCTTCTGGCAAAGATGGTGATGATGATGATGATATAATTTTATCATTTTTTATTGTTGCTTTGCTATGTTCTTAGTCCCTCGAAGTAATTATACGGAGTAGACTTGAATTTCACCTCAGATTTGACAAATACAATAATGGCCTTTTTACAGTCTTTGTAGTGTAGTTGCATTCATAGTAAGGAAAGCTGTAACTTGTTCTGGGTAAAATATTAGACAATATTTTGATTACTTAGATATACTAAGATCTAAAGTTCAAAGACGATGCAACTTTCTCGCATGTTGAATACAATTTAATAAAGTTATAATTAATTGCATGGTACGCATACATGGTATCATATGCATATGATAATTTTTTAATCCAATTATAGCTCTTGTATGCTCAAGAAAATGGCATTGTATAAATAAGCTTTAATATTAAGTAATATTGACAGTTGACAGAGAACCGAAATGAAAACCAATAGTGTTAACATAACATTTCGAAAACACATTGGTTTATACATATAAGTAGTATATGTAAATGTAAAAATGCGGTCAATAACTGTGCGATTCACCCGTAACTTTCTGCCCCGCACAGCCAAACTTTGGAATGATCTTCCGGCGGCGGTATTCCCGAACCGATACGACCTTCAAACATTCGAGAAACCAGCTAACTCCTTGTGACACAACACAACACCTGTGACTCTTCTGGTGTTGCAGGTGTCCATGGGCGGCGCCGATCGCTTACCATCAGGTAATACGACGGCTCGCGTGCCTCCCATTCTATAAAAAAAAATGTTTTTCACGGACTAACTTTCACCCATTTGCTTCACACGCGTAATAAAGTAATGTATCCTGGGATTTTAAAAACAGCAAGCAGCGCTTAACGTTATGATAGCTCGACAAAATACGCAAATTAGGTACAATTTATAGCCTTAGGAAAATTGTAGCAATCTATCAGTGAGAGAATTTGGGAAATCTGACCACGGGTCCAAAGATTACCCGTTGTATGGGAACTTAAAGACAAAAAGTATTTCTTAAATAAATATAAGTGAAGCTAGTTTTAATAAAGAGGTTTACCCATTTTAACAAAAATACCAATCCACTAATTTAAACTCTTATTTATTATTATTTTTCAATTTAAAAGAAATATTCTTGATCTATCGTTAGCAACTATGAAAAGAATACAATGTATGCACTTAAATATTTCTTTTACTTTCAGCTTCTCCTACTGAAAGTTTTTTACAAAATGGGTAAAGTATACCATTACTTGCTATTTTATACCAAATTTTAAAGTTTATTGAACCCAATTAGCTGTAATTTATGAAAATTACCAACTGATGTCAAGACCTTTCATGATTATTTTGTTTGTTCCTTGTAAATTACCGTTAAAATTTTATTTCGGACTATTAAGACGGAAATTAGTTTTCTTTTTATGAGTTTGATATTAACATTGTAATTATAGGTATCAACGACCTGTGTTCCTATCCAGAACATAAATTTGTATATCTTCAACGTAATGGCAAAATTGCTAAAAGTTTTGGAAGTTTTGGAAATATAGGTTTTAACAACTTCACTTACACGGCTACATATTTTTTTAGCTATTTAAAACTCGTTTTAACTGCACAATTGGCGCGGTGGCTGGGCAACTGGCTGCCGCGCAACGTGTCGCGAGTTCGATTCCCGCACGGAACAACAGTTTGTGTGATCCACAAATTGTTGTTTCGGGTCTGGGTGTGATGTGCATGTGAAATTGTATGATTGTAAACGCACTTACGATACAGGAGAAAATCCTAGTGTGGGAAAAAGTTTTTTAAAAAAAAATAACGTATTATTAATTATATTATATAAATACTCTTTTCCAAGCTGAACAGTTATAAGTAAGTTGTTGCGGTGACGAGGTAACTAAGGTTTAAGACATAAACGGCTTGCGCTGTTACTTACTAAACCTCATTAAATGATTTAGGCTTAGTTACAATAACGAATGTTTTTTAAAACAACGTTAACAAGAAAGTTGTTTGTTGTTATAACATTTTATTTCTCGGTGATTGGCTAATTTCCAGATTGTTTGATGGTTTGTGACCAACTCATTAGGCTCACATAAAAAGAATGTACTTTAATGAAAGTGTACTAAAATACTATGGAGGTTCAGTCAGTGTTAATAAATATCACTGACGTAGACCCTTATTTTTTAGGATGAAAAAATTACTTATTCTACCCTTGGTTGGACGAGGGAGAGTATCAAACTCTATCGGACTAAAGACCACTCCGTTCCTGCTCATGTTGCAGGCCGGGGCTGCAGTAAATTATAGCACTTACAGTACCCTTTTTTGTGAGGGGAAAATCATCCAATGACTTCTCCCGCCCAGGGTAAGGCGAGAGGGAGTGTCAGACTCTTACTGACTAAAAACCCCCGTTCCTTCTCCTGCTCTGGTCCGAGGTCGCGATGCCTCATTGCGCTTACCCCGCAAACTTACACTGCCCTTGCTGTAGTGAGTTAAAAAGATTCTCCTATTCCAAAGTCCAAAACACACATCTGTTTTTGCATCCCGTCGTTATCAAAGAGAAACCAACAGCAAACGAGCAAACTACCAACAACACCAGAGTTGTTAGTATTCCGTTGCTGATTTTAATTATGTCATTTCCCAACTGACCCTTTCTTAAGAAGAGTTAGTATCGTATAGATGAGAATTTTACCATTTTAGTGTTACTTTTGATCTATATCTTTTTATTTATTCATTTTAGTGTTACTTTTATCAGTAATCGTCTACTATATCTTTGAATGGCAGAAACATACATAGTTCTGTTGCACTGGCATGGGATCGACACAGTAGCGAAAGTCCGCTAAACGCGGAAGTTGCGCGGACGCCTCGCGCATTCTAATCAAGCGCATCTAAATACTCATATATTGTGTACTTATGTAAGTGGTGGCTAATGTCACCGACTTATAGTCGTAACACACGTTGGATGTAGCAGCCTAATAATCTATAGTTTTTAGGATGTACTGAAAGCAATTAATTTTATTATTAGAACCATCAGGACAGATGGACTGATTTTTTTTTGTTTCTTAAAAAACATTGCCCTATAGTAAGATTTTCCTGTATAATAGATGCGTTTATAAACATGAAATTACTACCCAGACCCGAAAACCGAAGACCTGAACATTTTGTGGATCACAAAAAGTATTGTTCCATGTGAGAATCGAACCTGCCAGTTGCCCAGCCACTACGCCAACAGTGCAGTCAAAATGGAACTGCACAACAAAGAGTATTCCAGAATTGATTTATTCCAGAATCTTAATATTATCATTACTAATTATGTTTTACTTGGCAAATCCAGAGTCAACATTGTTTTGTCAAAAGGACCCTTAGGACCCTCTTACCCCATAAAATCCACGTAAAATTACACGTTCAAATCATTACACGTTCTGGATATAAAAAGTGTAAAATAAGGGACGTCGATATTAACTCATCCTGTTGTCTTAAAAAATCTTAACCTAATGTCTTTTAAAAGAAAATTGTTTGAGATTTTGCTAAATAAATGTTATTATTCCACTAAAGATTATTTAGATGACCTATCATAGACTTAGAATAAGTAGTTCATAGTTATAACTAGATATTAAGCGAAATAATTTGTACACCAATTCGGTAGAATGTGTGAGATTCCATACACATAACACAAACACCTATATTTGTACTACATTCTCACAAATAAATATTTTCTTTCTTTCTTTCTTTCTTTCTTTCTTACAAGTGTGCAAACCGTAAATATGTCTAGAAATAGAAATCGAAATCTCTCAATGGCGTGACCACTGCGCTACAAGACAACAGGTTAAAACAGCAAGCATCAAAAAAGTATTTATTTTATTTTATTAGGAATAGAGAGTTTATTAATATAAAGTAGAAAGAGATATGAAAAATCTGAGCACCATTTACATATTTCTTATAAGGACGTAGTTGTGCAAAAAATATCCAACCCAAAGTTTGTTTGAAAATGAGCTAAATTTGCCAAATCAATCTTTAAGGTGGACATTACCCATTAGTAAAAACACAATATTAAAAATATGATAATTTGGGATTTTTATATGGGGTACAGACTAACATCTATGACTGATTTTTATTTAAATTCCGCAAAAACGATATAAGCTGTTTGGATCACTATAAATAAATTATACGAAATTCAACCTGGTCAACCACTTATAGCTTAAAATTAATCCAATCCACTTAGATCGATTTCCAAATCAACAAAACTACAAACTAAAATAACAGTGAGCAAAGACCATTTCAACTTTAAACCTCATTATCTCAAAGGGGTGGATCATTTTTGCACAATTACATCCGATTGTAAATGGTGAAGATCTAGGAAGCCTGTTACCAATTTTTAGGGCTATGTAATTAACCGACTACTAGGAGAAATTTGAAAACGGTATTTTAGAGTAAATATAATAAATAACTTATTAATTAATTATGTTGAAGTCCGAGAACCAAACCATGATTTTATTAATGTAACGTATATTCAAAATGGTTTACGCTTGACAAATCGCAATAACTTCTTAATTACAACGCTTAGTGCAATTTAGTTCCAAAAATATTAGGAGACGTTTGCTGATTAGGTGCGTGCATTTGACAATTGATAAATAATGGGATTGTGTTCCTTTTAAGCCTAATATATAACTTAAAGTAACTTGAAGATTTAATAGCTAACGTTAAGAACATAAATAATTTAATACATCAAGTTATTTCTTTATGTGATACGTTCGGCAAACAAGCAGACAGATTACTTGATGGTAAGCTTGATGGTAAGCCAATTGTGCAAGCCCACGTCCAGCACAATGAACGGAAACAGGCTGCCTATGATGATGATGATGATGATGCTGCTGAAGAAATCTGCGTCGCCCATTGACACCCGCAACCCAGAGAGCCAGCCTTTTGGGGTTAGGGTTTTGGAGATTTGTAAATTAAAGAGGGATGGGAGAGGGGAAGGATTGCGCCTCAAGTAACCTCACTATCACGGCGAAACACAACGCTGTGATTGTTTTGCGACGGTTTTCTGTAAGGCTGTAATGTTACTCCGGTCGAGCTTACCCATACGTGCTGAAGCTTGACTCATCCACATTACATGTATACTTTTTGGTATTACAAAATTATACGTGAATGTTGTCGTGTCTCGGAGGTTATGGCGCCTCTTGAACGAAAGCCCGAGTTTGAAACCTGATAAGTATTAACGTGATTTTTCCGAGCTGTATGCGCTTTCTAAGTTTATTTAGACACCAGTGACGAATGATGAAGGAAAACACAGTGAGGAAACTTGGACTGCATCTAATTATAAGTTGATTGCTAGTCTGCCTTGAGCAAGCGTGATAATTGATGTTCAAACCTTTGCTCAGCAGTGGGCACAAAGCTGAAGGTTATTATATGACTAATAGTTTTGAATAACCAAAATTGTGTCCACCCTCTTTACTTTTTTGTGTGCAGAAAATTGGTCATCATAGACTTCATCAGTGGAATCAGCATATTATGCAACAAGATACGTTGCTCTAGTCAATCTAGTCAACGTAGGCCTACCGTAAAGACTTTCAGATCGAATAGAGAGCGTCCTGTATCCAGCGACATCTAGTTACATTATTAGGTCGTGTAGTCATGAAAAAATTAATATTAATAAATCATAATATAAGTATTATAGACAAGTTTGCTTATAATTACCATGTTATAAATACGACCAGTCTGATTTTTGCTTTCCTATTATTAACTGTATTAAAAAAATAAGTAATAAAAATTAAAATATACAAAACATAAAATCTTCACAACTTTGACCTGAAAACTGTAATATAACATAACGGCTCCGTAACGATTACATGGCATGTGCACACATAATGTGTCAAGTTTTAATTTCATGCAAAATTAATGACAGACCATTAAACAAGTATTTGCATACGATAATAATTTAGAAGGAATTAAAAAAAAAAACGATCACATAATTTCATATTGTTTTTTTTTTACAAAGTTATGTCTGACATTAGCAAAGATAAGCCATCTGTGTTTCGTGGACAGGGTGTTTGAAAACTTCAGATACTTTTTTCCTAAAATAATTTTAAAAAGATGTCGAGGTCGACCACGGCGGAGGTGGTGTGACGATCTGATCATGTTCGCGGGGCAAACTTGGCCAGAGATCGCTCTAGACAGAGAAGTTTGGAAGGAAAAAGGGGAGGTGTTTGCCTAGCAGTGGGACACACAATAGGCTATAAAAAAACATAAAAAATACGTTAGTTTGATATAAAGTAACTTACCATCGATATGTATGAAAGAACACTTTTCTTTAATTTTATTTATCGCATCTTATCATCTTTCTTCAATTAATTTCTCATTTCTTCCTCTTTACTTTTTTTCTATTTATACCTAGATTATTTTCTTAAAAAAAGAGATCTATTTTTTTATTAAAAATTTTAAAAATATCGCAGCAACAGAATTTTCGTCAAAGTTTTAAAATACGACCTGATACTAAAAAAAAAAAATCTTCAACTGCTTATCTAGACCAAAACTTGGCACACTCGTGCTCTGGCAAAATGATGTCTACCCGCGCCCAAGTTGCAGAACCAAACACGTCAATATTCGCGATATATCTCAATCTCAGTCAATATTCCCAGACAAGACTTATTGACATTCAATGCGGTAAAGCCTATTTGAAATGTTACTTTCGTGTTAGACCTCATGTATTAACATTTTGACGTTTAAAATTATGGAGAAGCGGATTTTTGAATCTCTGTGCGGTTCCCAATTCTTTTTCTCTTATTGATGTATTAAAATAACAAACAAAGAAATCTTTCAGGTTTTTTTTTTGCTGTCGGAATATATTTATCATTTCAATGATGGAAATTCTCTCATCACTAGTGAGTTGATCAGAACCAAAGGTTGAACATAATGAAATATTCTTTTCTATTATATTTTTAAATCGTTGCGCCCTTGCGGTTTTTTCCTGTGAAGAAGTGTATGTGGGAAGGCACGTTTATAATCATAACCACCAATTTATAAATCACACAAAGAGTGTGATTGTGCGAGAATCGGACATGCTACACGTTGCACGGAAGCCGATTGCCCAGCTCCAGAGTCAACTTAGAGACACACTTTAAGGCTTTTATTTTTATTATAACTTTCGTAAGACATTCTAAATTATTTATTATGTCTTCGGCTTACTCACGTAATAATTTGACGAGATACTCGACTAGTTTCAAGCCATGCTAGAGGCCCATATTCATGAGCAGCATTCCGCGACACGCGACTCGGCGACCGTGGCGCTGCTACTCATGTAGCAGCGCGACGGTCGCCGAGTCGCGCGTCGAATGTCTCACGAAAATAACACTTTAAGGCTGTAAATAACTCTAACTCTAACATCACTATGTGTCGCAAAATAGAACAAATTATTCAAATTGTTTACCTAATGAAAGAAAATGTGTAAAGTAATAATTATCATTTCTAGTACGAGGCGATAAAAATACCGACTAAGTTACAGCGTAAATAGGTCACGATTACGAGCGGGTCAAACTCGAGCAAACTCCTCGAATCATAAAAAGATTGAAAAATAAATGATTTAATGAATGGTAATTCTAAAGGTCTATGTTTCTTTTTTGTGTGATAGGACAAAAAACGAGTATACGGATTACCTGATGGTAAGCAATCAGCGCCGCCCATGGACACCCGCAACAAAGGAGGAGTTACGAGTGCGTTGTCTTTTGCGGTTAGGGACTTGGAGATTTTGGGATTGAGAGAGGGGAAGGGTTGGGCCTCCCATAACCTCACCCACATGGCGAAACAAACACACTAACACGATTAATTATTATGTTTTCGGCTTACTCAGGTAATAATTTGACGAGATACTCGACTAGTTTTAAGCCATGCTAGAGGTCCATACTCATGAGCAGCATTCCGCGACACCGACGACCGACACTGAGTAAGCCGAAAACGTAATAATTAATTTAGAATGTCTTACGAAATTTATAATAAAAACACTAACACGACGCTATGGTTGTTTCACGCCAGTTTTCTGTGAGGCCGTAGTACTACTCCGGTCGAATCGACCCATTCGTGCTGAAACATAGCTCTGCCACACTTTAACTTGTTTATAATAACATTTACAGTATTGTTGGACAACCAGCTGCTGCTCTGAATATCGTCAGTTTGAATTCCGCACAAAATAGTTATTTCTGTGATCAACAAATAATTTCTTGGATTCACATTTGTGTACAGGACTACATTTTCTTTAACAAAAAAAAAATGAATATGATGTAATATAATTTTGACACACCATTTATAATTTTCCCGACCAATGAACCCCAAAAAAGAAAGCAATGCCCGACGTAAGGTCAGGGCTGGAAGAGTAGGTCGCTGTCACAGCTAGAATAATAACACAGTGCCGAACGCTCATACATACATACACTTCCTTACCGGCAAACAAACGGACGCACCTGAGCCTGCATGCTTAGGACACTGGAAAAAAAATAAAACAAAAAAAAAAACAACTGTCAAAGTTTTGCCGCCAGAACTTAAGTTTAAATTTCGAATCAGTGTTCTATCATCTATTATCAAATAGAGATCTCTCTCAGACCTTCTGAATAGAGAAACTTTGAGAAGAGGACTTCAAAGCAAAATCTTCAACACAATCCCAGAAGACTCTAGTTCGAAAATGTTCAGTGCAAAAATAAGTCAAAGATTGGTGGTGGTGTACCTCTGCATAGCATCAGTGTTTAGTGCTCCGATGCAGCTGCCATTCCTGCCGATGCAGTATGGGATGAATTCCCAGCTCCCATTCTTGAGGCAGATGACTCCGAATTTGCAGTCACCGGCGCTGTAAGTACCTTCTATTTATGACTTAACGTTTTAATCGTGGTAATTCGAGACACTACAGAAGCACATTTAAGTGCACGGACGCCGGCGATCGCTTGGGGTTTGATGAATTAAAAACTTTTTGTTTATACTCCTCTATTGGTTTCATAGCAGAAAATGTCAATTCGCGGTTCGCAAAACTACTAGGTCTGTAATAACCTGTCTATTTCATTGTTTAGTTTTTTTAGTGCTGTCCTGCGATAGCATGTCGTTGTCTTCTAAGATTCTCCAAAAAATAGCTAACTTAAACAAATATTTACTCTTTTGCCAAACATGAAGTAGGTACCTACGTTCTTTACAGGATGTGCGAAAACCTAACCTAAACACTGAATATAAACCATGCAAACATAGGTGAGGCAAAAACTATAGACAAAAGAGTTAATTTACTTTTATGGTTTGTGTACTTAGATTCGTAGTTTTTGAACTCACATCATGTCCCTATGCTAATATCTTTCTAAAATCGAAATCTCATTAGTTTTCATTATTAAATTAACTTATCAATAGATCCAAAAATTTGGAGTGCGATCATTTTATTAGTAGATTAGAAGGTTTTTTTAAGGAATAAGTTGGCAAACGAGCATACGGATTACCTGATGGTAAGCAATCGGCGTCGCCCATGGACACCCACAACACCAAAAGAGTTACGTGTGCGATGCCGGCTTTTTGGGTATAAGGGTTGGGAATTGATAGGGAAAGGTAAGAGATTGGGCTTTCGGTAACCTCACTTACACGGCGAAACACAACGCTGCGGCTATTTCACGCCGGTATTCTGTGAGGCCATAGTAGCACTCCGGTCGAGCCGACTTATTCGTGCCGAAGGTGGTTCTCACATACTTAAGCTATCAACCAAAATATTTATTTATATTAATGTTTTCAGGAAGACAAATTAACCAAGACCCTTCTCCAATTCCAGGTTTCCACAGCAGCAGCCATTGGTAATAGTCCTACCAAACGCGACTCCCAACGCGGAGGCAGACGACAGATACGTCAACCTAAACGAACAATTAGCAGCTAACCTTAAAAGCGCAGGACATGTAGATGAGAATAAGGATGCTGTAGTCATCGATGCCAATGACCCTAAAGCACCAGAAATGCATACGAAAAACGCAGTAGTCTATCTTCCCAATGAAGGAAGATACTCTATTGGACAAATTATCTCTTACATTCCATTCCTGCCGATTGAAATTAATGTACCAGACACGATCTCTTGGATCACTCATCTGCTAACTGGAGGAATATTCAGACCAGGACCAGCACAGGCGCCTGTAGGTACAAAGACTCTTCCCAACAAACCTCAAGTCCCATTAATAGTGATGCCCTACCCTGGTCTCTTGCCGAATTTGAATCAATAAGTGACTACTGTTATCTGGGAGCTAGGAAGACTGATTGTTGTTTATAAAAAGCAGGAATTCCATTTTCTGCTGCTAAAGAAATAGCAAATGGTGTTAAATCAGGGTTGTGTCCATAATATAATTTAAAAAACTTTAATTAAGTGTTCTTATTTTTCTATGATATTACTTGCTTTGATATTAAACCAGTTTTAGGGCAGGACACGTTATTGGAAGTAAAATTACACTTTATGCAAAATGCTTTATTATTATATAAAATAATAAATTTACAAATTGCTATCATTAACTGAGGCCTTAAATAAAATACATATATTTTACAATATACCTAGACGTTATGGTAACAAAACTTAACGTATAACATGATTGAGTTCAAGAATCTAACCAGATTGAACCGGAATTTTATAAACTAACAACCTCAATTCTGTTATTGAACAGGTTACACCGTCAAACTCCAATCATGCCTATTGAAGACAATAAATCCAAAGTAGCAAAAATAATAATAAAAAACATAAACACATTAGAAAAGACAGATTGAAATCAAAATTCCACTTTCAATAATGCTACTTAGGATATATAAGGCAAAGCGATCATTTCGCTCCTAAAATGGCAACGTATGTAGTACAGGTCGATAATCTAATGACAAAACATTTAGTACGCCCGTAATTAGGTTACTAGTGTCATACAAACTGCCTCATTAGACTATCGGCTAACTAAGGGACTCATAAAACTATAAATATCATGATGACCATTTTGGTTTCAACCTACTGAACTAACAATGGGCGAAACCAAAGAACTATCGAACGCTTAGAAAGTTTATGACAACTTATAGTTTCAAATGAACAATGAATCAAAACAGTGATATAAAGGTGAAGCAGGTACTTTAGACATTCTCGTATTAAAGTTAAACATTTGATCACAATAAATAGTCAAAACTTTCTATGGGTTTACTAATAACTAGACATCTTTGCAAAACTAATTGGAAATTGTTCCAAAAAATTCAAGTAGTTTAGTTATTTAAGGGCGGCCGACTCCGACGGTGTCGTTGTCAACTGGATAGTTGGATGCTTCTAAGTCCTTCTTGGGGACGATGATGGAGACGGGGTAGGTGAAGCTGTAGAAGAAACCGTGAGGGGGACCCTGGAAAGAAAAAATTGCATTAGTAAGGATAGCTAGAGAGGTAAATGAAATATATACAAATGATGAATAAATACAAAGTGTCATGGTAGCTCGGAGGTTAAAGTATCCGCTTCTCAAGCATGAAGGTTCAAAACCTAAGACGAGCATGACTTTTTTTAAGTTGTACCTATTGTATTTACAAACTATTGAATTGACTAACGGTGAAGGAAAACATCTTGATGAAACCTGGACTTGTAATTTCTTATTAGAAGTTTGAAATCACCAATCTGCCTTAAGCGATCGTGGTAATTAATGTTCAAACCTTCTCCATGTGAGAAGAGATCTTAACTCCACAAAAGACACTAATAGGCTGATGATGTGATATGATAGATAAATAAAATGTAACTTTAGACTACATCCAAAATAAAATAGTCAACTGAATGCAAATCTTTAAAGACTATACTAGAGACCTATAACGTTAAGAAAGGGATTATTGTCATAGATATGTAATAAATTCTTACGGTAGGTTCAGGCTCTTCGAGCTTGCCATCAGGACCAACTTGCTGTTCCTGCTGTCCGTATTTCTGTTGTGCGTATTGCTGGTTCTGTTGGTAAGTCTGTGCCTGGGCATATGCCAAGGCTTTGCCATCACGAGCTTGGCTCGCCTCGGGAGCGGCGACCACAACCGCGTCAGGTTCTGAGGCTTGCGCGTAGTTTCCGTATAATTGGCTGTAAAAGAAAAATAGAACGTAGGGAATAATTTCTTTTGGACAATTCTCTGGGAGCAGCTCAATTGAGTTTAAGAGGGTTAAAATGAAGACAAACATTTCCGAGTTCCTATCGAATTCCTATTCCTGCGTCCTTATTTTTAATTCATATAAGGCTACCGGGTCTGTGGTCTGAGAGGGCTTTGCCCTATCGGGTTACCGTAGACTAATCATTAAGCTGTAACTGTAGGCTACCTAATTAATTTTTAAAGCTACTTACGGTTGGTTCTGGTAGTATCCTGGCTGGACGGTGGGTTGGTGAGAGTTGGCCTCAGCTGCCTCTTTCCATGCCTTCTCGAAAGCAAGACGTGCTTCTCTAAGCTCTGGGGTCTCTTCAGCGGGCTTCAGCTCGACCTTGGGAAGATTGTCTTCCTGGTGGAAACCTTCGCTGTCAGCCCAATAGCGGACCTAAAAAACAAAATAATAAATATTTATTTATTTTTATGACGATATTAAATTATGAAACACTTTATTTTTAGTGTGATATCAATTATATATCATGTAAAATTATTACAACGTAGATATAACTCATAGTGACAATACTTTATATTAAAGTGAGTATCAACGCCATCTAGTAGTGTCCAAGTGAAGCATGACCTACAATAAACAAACAGAATTCCTTAATATTTTTTTACATATTGCTAGTTTACCTTGACGAGGTCCTTCATTCCGGGGACTTTGTATTCGTAGGAGCCACTGACGACTCCGGAACCTTCACGGTTCTCAACCTTGGAGGATTCAGGCGTCTCGTAACCGTAGGCGTATTGACCAAGACCGTCCTGTCCGTGGTACTGAGCTGCGTTGTAAACCTACAAAATAGAAAAAAAAAATAGCTTAATATCAAAACTCAAGCCAAAATGCTGAGTAAGGAATTATAGAACGATGATGATTATAGACGGCCCAGCTCGGGAAGAAGAAGAAAAGGGACCTTTTCAGTTTTTCGGTCAGTATGAGTCTGACACTCTCTCGCCTCACCAAGGGCAGGAGAAGGGATATTAATACGACGCCTTTACGCTCAAAAAAAAAGTCTAGGTCTATTCATAATGACACGGAACCATGAATTGCGCCTAGTGATGATTGAACGGCAATAATAGACTTGACGCGAATAACGCGTGGCCAAATCCAGACTAATATTAAAAAAGAACGAAAGCAACTCTGTCTGTTTGTCTGTCTTTTCTGAAGAAAAGCCTAAGCTAACCTATTTGTGTGTAGTACAAACATAGTTTGGAACTCGTGTAAGGACACAGGATAGTTTTTTAACCAAAAATCTGCAGGAAGTCTCTATCCCACGCGAACAAAGTCGCGAGCAACCAGCTAGCAAATAATAAAATAGATGTGATACACATACATATGTATGATAGTCCACAAACACACATACTATGTTACATTTACATTACCTATATAACGGGGAATATTAACTAAATCGTGGTCATTCAAGACACATAAGGTGCGTGAACGCGTTCTTTATGTGTAATATTACCTCTTCTACGTAATCGTCTGTGTTCTCGATCTCCTTTCCATTCTTCCAGTAGTGGCCGAGGGTTGGGCCAGCTTCAGCTGAACGAAACCTAGGGTCATCGTAACGAACCTGAAATCAAGTGATAAATATTATAGTCTTTAAAATAAATTAGACTAGCTTTCATTTCTTTTGAAACAATGAAACCACGAATTTATTTTTGCAAAACGGCACTTTTACACGTCAATTTTCAGCCGGGGTTGCGGGGTAAGCGCAATGAGGCACCGCGACCTCGGCCTAGACCAGGAGAAGGAACAGGGGGTTTTTAGTCAGTAAGAGTCTGACACCATGGGCGGGAGAAGTTATTTGATGATTTTCCCCTAACAAAAAAAAACACGTCAATTTATATGTGAAAAAACTAGATGAAGCCGTTCTGTACCGTTAATTTAATTTTCAAATCCGAAGAGTCACCTTGCAGCTCGCCATAAACGTGGCTAAACTTGCTATGCCCAAGATTTTCACTCTAAGGTGACGATATACTTTCAAAGTTTTCTCAGACACCAGAGACATTCCTACAGTGGAGGATGATATATATAAAATAAAATATATAAAATAAAATCTTATCATGTTTGGAATAATTTGATTACTTGTAAACTTAAATTCTTAAACAAACGCCACCATACTTTGAAGAAGCCAGTTGTTTTAAACTCATTCTCTGATTTTAAAGAGGTATTTCTCTCTTAAAGGCTAGAAAGTGGTAAATAACTTAGCACCTAGGTACATACCTTATAGACTATTATTCTATTTTGTCGTTTAAAAAGTACCTATTTATGGTTAAGTTGGAATAAATAAATATATGAAGACATTAACTTCAGTGGTAACATACCAGTGGTAGAACAGCGGTACGTTGAGAGAGCTGAGGTGAAGTGAACGGCAATTGTTTGAGGTACTGCTGGGCTTCCTCAGGAGTGATGTCGTTCTTGAAAATAAAGTTGGACTGGGGCGCGCCTGAGGCGAACACCACCTGTAAAAGAAAAGAAGGTTGAATTAAGAAATTGTGAATCAAATGCAGGAACAGTGTTATAATATTCCGAGTACAGAAGTTCAGTACATAATGGGAGATATCGACCCTGATTGAGGGGACGTACAAGCGCAATAATGATCCATGCCTCCACCCAGTAAGAGTCAGTAAGAGCCTGACACCCACTGCCAGTCCTTGCCCAGCCCCAGGGTGACAGAAGCAATTCGATGACTTCGTCCCCTCAAAAACATGAAGAAAACAATTCACTTTTGAGTAAATTTCTGTGTGCTTAAAAAAGGTAGGTTAAAGATGTAGTTTTCATGTAATGTTAAAAATAATAGACTATAAAATGCTGTCTTGTTTGAATGCACAGTTGCCACGATTGCTGGGCAACTGGCTGCGTGATACGTGCTTGGATTCCGTACGGAACAACTCTGTGTGATCCACAAATTGTTGTTTCGCATATATTTGTTAAGTATGTGAAATGGTATTTGTAAACGATCTCACTATACAGGAGAAAATCCTTATCCTACAACTCAATATAATTATAAATGTGACAATTTTTAAGAATTTATGGCTGTATGTTTGTTATTCTTTCTCGCAAAAACGGATGCACCAATTTGGTTGAAATTTGGTATTACATAGGTTCTACCCTGGACACATAGGCTACTTTTACATACCACATGGGTGTAGCCACGAGCGGTAGCTAGTATATTATACATACTTATAAAAAAGACAAAAACAAACTCAATGGCTCAAGCTTTGAAGAAGTTCAAGATTACCCTTGTACCTAATCAATAAATAACAAGTAAGTATTAGGTACCTAATAATTTATCATAAAAACACACGATCATATCGTTTACACATTCAAAATATAATCATATCTAACTTACAAATAACATGCATCGGTAATTACATATTAAACAGGATACTTAAGTATTTGAAGGTTACATCTACGCTACAAGACGCCAGAAAAACAACATATCCCAATTCGAAAAGTATTTCATTCAATTCTCAACTTTATAACAAAACTATTAAGTTGAGTGTAGAAAAATAATAGCTTGACCTGCTGCGGACTGTATAATTAAGTATGGATTTAAGATGATCCCAAAATAATAAGTTACTACAAAATGAGTCATCTAGAAGTTTGGAGGTCATTTCATTCACAACCGGACTTTGAATTGAATATTAGATTTGTGATTAATTATTTACTTTTTAAATAGGACGATGATCTAATAATTGAAATTGTTAGAAAATGTGTATGGCGTATTTTAACTATTGTTAATGTGATGTGTGGTAGTTAAGAATTTTAGTCACTAAAATAATATAGAATTTATAAGACTACATAAAAAAGATCCCCTTTTTGGTAGGGGAAAATCATCAAATGACTTCTCCCGCCCAAGGTGAGGTGAGAGGGAGTTTCAGACTCTTGCTGACTAAAAACGCCCCCGTTCCTTCTCATTATTTAAGCCGGGCCTCATTGCGCTTACTCCACAACCCCGCCTGAACATCAGACCAATGACCAGAACTAGACCCGAGCGTACCCTACGCTCGGGTCTTAGTGACCGTCCGCTGACCCGAGAGACGATCTCCGGCCACCGTAAGCGTCGGTGGCCGGAGATCGTTTCTCGGGACCCCTCAATGCTTTTAACTCAACCATTTCTAACATGGATCTTTCTTTCTATTTCTATCAAATAATGCGTATAAGAACTTGAAAATGTTTAACTTAACCAATAGGTCTTAAGGTTTTCACAACTGAGCTAGTTACTAGCTCAGTTGAAACATGATTAGGCTTGCACCAGTGCAAGCCAAATAAAGTTTCGCGACCCCAGCCCCAAAAAGAGAGGGAATTTGATTGATTTCAGTCAGTAAGAGTCTGACGTCTTCCTCCACCTAGAGCGGGAAAAGACTTTGAGGATATTCCACCTAAAAAAGTTTTCACGATAGCGTTTCTCAATCGTGATTATGACAAATAAAATACAGTAGTATGTACTCTTACTAATTTTCACAACACTATTATAGTAATGCTGAAACTGTTAGCAAAATCAATAATAATTGTGCAATAGTATAGGTATAGGTAGTAAAGATGAGACGCTGATAACTCTGCTAATATCAATGACCATACGAATGGCCTTAACATAATTCATGCCTTCACATCAACATGCATAAGGATGACGTCACACTCACATATTGACACTAACAATTTTCAACATCGAAGCAAATGTGGATTTATTTGGACATTTCATTGTTGATCTACTAACAAGTATGAGGAAGGAGTTGTTCAATATAATATGGTTCCGCATATGACAATAGTAATTAATGATAATAAAGACAATAAAAATGAAGAAGTGTCACTTCCCAATACAATAAAATATGAACGTAGATATCTTTTATTACCCGAGTTTACAGTGTGTAGCGAATCGCGTGCGCTTCAGTGACAATCAGACTACTACAAAAGGGACCCACTAGAGACGGTCTTCACCAGGCCCGGCCTGGAGCAGGAGAAGGAAAGGGTAGGTTTTAAGTCAGTGAGAGTCTGAACCAATCTCTCGCCATTGAGAGAAGTTTTTTGATGATGACCCCCGTCAAAAGAAAGACATAATTTGTGAAATTTATTACAAGTATAAAGAACAAGAGCAAGAAACCACAAATAAAGAGCTTGTGACCATGAAAATTTCTGACTATAGCTGGTGCCGCTAGAATACGCCTTTATTTAAAACTATATATCATTATTCAATATCAGAAAAAACAAACTCCAAAATCCCAAGCTTTGACGATATCTATACAGGCCTATGACCACACCAACAAACATTACGCATATTGCTCATATAGAGAATACATTATATATACTACGCCTGATTTTGAACACGTATTTACTACGTTTACATAAAATGCAGGATGTTTTGATACAACATTATATATATTTTGATAAATATGTGATGAGATCAGCTCTCTCAGTATCTTATTCATCAGCTTGCCCGTCTGTCACATTTATTTATAACGACTACCTACCTTAATAAAGGCAATCTTTATTAAAATCTGGTTTTAATTATAAATTCATATTTGTTTTCTACTTACGCGATATAATATTGTTTAATATCTATTAGTTATTTCCATATTTATATTTCTCGTTTGTTTAAGTATTATTAATGGATTATTTTGTTTTAAAAATTTTAAGAAAACTCTATGTCAAGGTTTTGAAAATGTGCGTAATGTTTGGCAGAATACTCAACTCCCGTTGAATGGTGTTAAAAAAAACAAAAAAAAAATTTAAACACACTGAAAAGAAACATTACATTACAGCAATCATCCCGATCAGCAGATTTTATTTTTGAAAAAAGAAGCTTTCAAATAGGTCTGTATTAGATGGCTATTCGAAATTTGAAAGCAACATCGTAATGTAGCATAACCTTTGTAGTAAAAAAGACGTTATAAATATCATTTTCCTCCACCTAGACTTTTCTATTAATAATATAATTAATTTATAATGTTCTTTCTCAACTAATCTGACTTGAAATACAAGTTTTGACTAAAACTAGAATCTTAAAATAAATATCTTTTATTAAGACGTGCTGATTTTGTCCCTAGGTTATATAGTAATTAAATATAGCATAACAATTTATATGCCTGTTTTTGATGAGGGAAAAACTTTCAAATGACTTCAACAGCCCTCGATAGGCTAACCTAGTGTCTGACTCTTACTGACTAAAAACCGGTTTGTTCCTTCTTCTGTTCTCAGCTGATACATACATAGTAACCGCAAATAAATTACGAGGCAATTAGCTATGTTATTATAAAAACAGACGTGTACTACGCATATCAAATAATAACTAAATACAATTTTTTGTTCCTTTATTTTACAATATATAATACTATTATTCAAACGAATATAAAATTACCAGTTCCCTAAGTTTTTTTATATAATATCAAATTACAAAAATAACATATCCTTAGTGACCAACAAAAACCAAATAATAAGAGGCATAAAGTTCATCGATGTAATACGAAGAAAAAAAAGCCAATCTTAAACCGTTTGTGTAAAAAAACTTACAAAAGACGTCTTAACTTATGTATATGAAGGCACCGGGGGGTTGGTACAAACATCAACATCCCGATCATCGTCTTCACAGTCCATCGCAGGGCGTAGGATTTTATAATCAGGCCGAATAAATTACAAAAATAACGGACGTCGGCGATCCGTCTCCTATGACAGTCACAGCGCTCCTCTCCACCATAATGCGCACGCAGAACTGCCAGTTTGACGTTCCGCCAGAGTACGATTTATGGTACCCTCGTCCGATGAATTGTAATAAAACCTCCTTCAAAATTCAATTTAAATAATCGTCGCTCCGACACGGCCAGACTGACATTCGCTCGTCCTCGAGCGATCTTAGTTCTGTGTTAGTTCTGGAACAGAAGGAAAGATTCCACGTGTATAGCACACTGCTCGTTCATCCTGACGAACATGCGCTTTCTCAACATCATCTGGTTACTGCACTCAAGACCGATGTAACATGATCATCATTATCAGTTGTACCTACTTCCAAAACTATGAAACAACTTATCCCAAACCACTCTGATACGGCCTCAGCGATTGGTGTGCATGGACCGGATGTATGCGCCTCTACCACCAGCCAACATGCTCCAGCAAGACCACATCATCCCTCCGACCAGCTCACCAGATCACCTGCTTGGGTCAGACTAGTGCGTCCCTCCGACTAGACACCACGTGACATAGACCGGACGTCACTATCCTCTCAATGATCAGCTACGCCAACTCACAATTATTTTCACAGACATTCACGTTACCCAGATGAAACTAGGTACAACCATCAAATCACTAATCTCTAATTTGAGAACTATCTTGTTCATTATAACTACAATCGTTGGTTCAATCATATGAACACGCAAATAATGAGGAAGATGACCCGTTATCACAAAGAAAAGGAACTTTCTCACCCGTAGATGTCTCCAACAAGCCTTTGGAAGCTCTATGGCCGCAA